CGTCACTTGGCAAAGCATGTTATCCTCTTTAAGGAGCTCTGGTAGTTGGTGGTGGTGTTGTTAGGTGCCATCGAGTGTCCTCTCAGCACTGCTTTCACCATGTCCCAAAGATTTTGGTATGTTGTGTTTCATTCTCATTTGTTTCTAGTAACTTTGTGAATTCATGTTTAATTTCTTCTACTACTCAGTCACTTTTCAGCAGGGTCTTATTCAGTTTCCATGTATTTGACTTTATTTCCTTGGTCTTCCTATTGTTGATTTCTAATTTGATAGCATTGTGGTCTGAGAAGATGCTTTGTAGTATTTTGATATTTGTAAATTTATGGAGATTTGTTTTGTGGCCGAAGACATGGTCTATTATGGAGAATGTTCCATGTGCACTGAAAAGAATGTGCATTGTGCTGCTGTTGGGTTGAATGTTTTGTACATATCTATGAGGTCCAGTTGGCTGATTGTGTTGTTTAGTTCTTCTGTGTCTTTGTCAAGTTTCTTTCTGGTTGTTCTATCAATTTTTGAAAGCGGTGTATTAAAATCACCTACTATGGTAGTGTAGTGGTTACGAATCGGGCTGCTAACCTCAGGTCAGCAGTTTGAAACTACCAGCTGTTCCGCGGCAGAAAGATGAGGCTGTCTGCTCCTGTAAAGATTTACAGCCTCAGAAACCCTGTACAGGGTCACTATGAGTCTGAACTGACTCCACAGCACATAACAACAACAACTATTATTGTAGATTCGTCTATTTCTTTCTTCAAATCTATTAGAGTTTGCTTTATATATTTTGGAGCTCTTTCATTGGGAGCATAGATGTTTATTATGGTTACGTCATCTTGTTCAATTATCCCTTTAATCATGAGATAATGTCCATCTTTATCTATTTGCAGGTTTTTGCTTTAAAGTTTATTTTATCAGAGATTAGAACTGCCACTCCTGTTCATTTTGTATTGCAATTAGCTTGGTATATTTTTTTCCATCCTTCGACTTTTAATCTTCTTGTCTCTGTGTGTGAGATGTGTCTCTTGCAGACAGCATATTGAAGGATCTTGTTTTCTTATTCTGCCACTCTCTGTCTCTTAACTTGTGCATTTAATCCATTTACATTTAGTGAAATCATCGATAGTTATGGATTAATTACTGCCATTATGTTTTTTGTTTTTTTGTGTGTGGTGTTGGTTTCTTTGTTTTGTGTGTCTTCCTTTGCTGAGTTCATGCTTTTTGTGTTCTCTCTTGTGAGTTTCCTCATAGTTTAAATGTTGCCATATTCTTCTTGAATTTTTATTTTCTTGGTATGTTGTGAAGTGTTCATTTTCTTTGAGGTTACCTTGTAGTCCATTAACTTTTACCTCCATTTAGTGCAGTCTATTTTATCCTGTAATCTCACCATCTGGATCTCTGTTCCTATGTGTTTACCTTCTTTTACACTGTAAACTCTTTTGATCATAGACTGACCTTCCAGATTCTCTGAGTTTGTTCTTATAGTTTTGTTCTGTTCTTGACTCTTCCTTCTATTGACTTAATTCTGGGAGGTGCTGCCACGTATATCAATCTCTGGTTGTTTTCCAGTCTTGATGGTTCTCAGTCGACAGAACTCCCTTTACGATGTTTTGTAGCACAGGGTTGGCTTTGGAAAAATTAATTAGCTTCTGTTTATCCTGGAATGTTTTGATTACACCATTGTATTTGATTGATAGCTTTGCTGGATAAAAGATTCTTGGTTGGCAGTTTTTTTTTTCCTTCAGGGTTTTATATATGTCTCCCCATTGCCTTCTTGCTTGCATCGTTTCTGCTGAGAGATCCGAGCTTAATCTGACTTGCTTGCCTTTGTATGTAACACTTCTGTTTTCCCTAGCTGCTTTCAGGAGTGTCTCCCTATATTTGATTTTGGAGAGCTTGATTATGATATGTCTCAGTGATTTTCTTTTGAGGGCTATCCTTCCTGGGGTTCTTTGAGCTTCTTGAATGTTTATCTTCTCACTTTTTAGGACATTAGAGAAATTTTCTTCCAGCAGTTCTTTCCTCTGTGGACTTGTGTGATTCTTCTTGTTCTGGAATGCCTATAAGTCTTAAATTATTCCTCTTCATGTTGTCCAACATGAATCTTAGACCGTCTTCAGGATTTTTTATCCTTTTTTTCTGTTTGCTCTTCTATTTTAGTGGTATTGAGAGATTTGTCTTCCAGATCACTGGTTCTGCTTTCCATCTCTTCTATTTTACTCCTTTGCCCTTTCAGTGTATTGTGTATTTCTGATATTCTATTATTGATCATTTGGACCTCTTTCTGTAGGTTTTTAATAGTTTCCAATGCTATATCTATCTTATTTGATTATTCCTGTAGAGCTTTCCTGACTTCTTCCTTATTTTTCTCAAATCCACTGTAAAGTGTTTTGAAACATTTTATAATAATTTTTCTTAATTCCTTCTCAGGCATTTCCAAGGCCTGCCCTCTTTCCAGAATGTTGTCCAGGTCTACCTCTAGGTCATTTGTCTCAGACATTGTATCTTGTTTCTGGACATGTGCTCATATGGTCATCTGCTTTTGTTTCTTGGACATTTTTAGTGTTTATCTGTAGCCTTCCTTAATACTTAATTGAGTATGTGTTTTGGTATTTTTGATGCTTTGTGATTGCTGCCAGGTTGATGTGATCAGGATGTGAGCTTTTCTTTTCACTCTTCTTATTGCTTAAAGTATCTTTCACAGGTGATGCCTGCCTCCCTGGTATATGGCTGTTGGTATTGGTTCTTGCCTGGATTTTGGTGTTTTATAGAATGTGATTATAGCTTGATTATATGGCAGCAGTTGCTGTCTCTTCTTAAGTAAAACAGGAAGAGAAAGAGTCCCCTAAATGTAGAAGGAGGAACATAAAACAGAAAAACAGCAAGAACAACAACAACAAAAAAAAACAAGAAACAAAACAACAACAAAAACTAGACTGTATACTATAGTCTCTAATTGCAGAAAAGGGAGAGAAGGAAAAAAACAAATCTGTAGCCTAATGTGAGTATGACTTTAATGTCCTCTTTCAGCTTCTTGCCTTAGAGATTTCAAGATGCCACTTTTGGTTGTTATGCTATACCTCAGGATTTAATTTAATTTTCAGCCTGTTTTGTTTTTAAACTCTCTTTCCCTCTCCACACCTCTTTTCTGTATTGAAAAAACAGTTCAGGGCCTGCTCTTGGGCTAAGAGCATGTGTGGCAGAAGAACCCACCAGTGGTGAGGGTGGGAGGTGTCCACTCACTCAGGCACCCCCTCTAGTCACCAGAATGAAGTTGCGCAAACAGTGGGGGGCCAATGAACAGATACCAAAAAAGAGAAAATCAGAATAAAGCAAAACCGACAAAGTGTATCGTCCACCTTTGCTCTGAGGTTCCCGCAACTTTTTTCCGTGGTGTGTCTGCTCCCACGCTTGGACTTGCCATTTGGTTTCACCCAAGTTGTTGGCTCCAGGCCTCAGAGCCCGGCAGATTCAAAGGTACAGGATTTCTTACTTTCACTACAAGTTTTACTACCTATAAGCCTTTACACTTTTTAAATATTCCTATCTAGCGTAGTGGTTACGAATCGGGCTGCGAACCTTAAGGTCAGCGGCTCGAAACTACCAGCTGCTCTGTGGGAGAAAGATGAGGCTTTCTACTCCCGTAAAGATTTACATCCTCGGAAACCCTGTACAGGGTCGCTATGGGTCGGAACCGACTCGACGGCACTTCACAACAACAACAACAATGTGGTTCCGAGTGTTGGAGCTCTACCCTGAATCTGTTTTGCCTGGCATACTGTGGTATTGCTGAAGGTGAACCTCACTGAACCTCCACCCTAACCATCATCAAGCCCCACCTAAGGATTCCACTTTTTAAATCACCTTCCACTGTGCCAAGCGTGATGGCCTTTCTAAAGACTGGTTCCTCCTGACATCATGTCTAAAGTACTAGAGACCAAGTCTTCCCTTCCTCATTTCTGAGGAACATTTTGGCTCTGATTCTCACAAGAGAGATGGGCTGATTCCTCTGGAAGTCCACTGTACTGTGAATATTCTTTGCCTACACCATTATTCGAATGCATTGATTTTTCTATTATCTTCCTTATGCATATGAGGCAACTGAAAATACTATGGCTTTTTTCAGAAACATTTTAGTCCTAAAAGTGATATCTTTACTAGTTAACACTTTAAAGTCTTTTGACACTGATTTGGTAATACAGCATGTCTTTTGATTTCTGGACTGCTGCTTCCATGGTCATTGATGTGGATTCAAGTAGAATGAAGTCTTTGACAACATCAGTGTTTTCTCTGCTTATTGTGATATTATTTATTGGTCCAGAAGGGAGGTCTTTTGCTTTTTTTTAAATCATTGTTGTTGTTAAGTGTCACCTAGTGAGCTCTGGCCCTTAGCAATATATATATAAGTTTTTAGACTGGGTATGACCCACTGACCTGTGGTTAGCAGGCCAGTGCTTATTCTACAGCACTACACCAAGATCCTTTTGAATCATAGTGATGGTTGTGTGCTGTGGAGTCAGTTCAGACTCATAGCTACTGTGTATAGGGTTTCCAATGCCGTAATCTTTACAGGAGCAAAAAGGTTCATCTTTCTCTGCCACAGTGACCAGTTGTTTCAAACTGATGACCTTGAGGTTAGCAGCCCGAATTGTAACCACTACACTAAAAGAGCTCCTTTTTAAATCATGCTGTTGTTAAGTGCCAGTGAGTTGGTTCTGACCCAGAGTGACTCTGTATAGACTTTACAAGGAGTGGCTGGAGAGCTTGAACCACCGACCTTGTGGTTCAAACTTGACTCTGCAGTCCAGAGTGTTAGCCCACAGTGCTACCCCAGGAGACATAACCCACCTCAAATTCTATTTTGAAAACTGAGAACCACTTTCTGCTGCGGACACTCCTGTCTCACCCTCTGCCAAAAGTCCCTGAGGGCCTGGGTGCTCAGGCTAAACTCTGGATCCTGAACCTGTGGGACTCTGGGGCCCTGTGTGTCCCCCCTCTTCCCCATCCAGTGTGACCATGAGTCCTCTCAGGTCTCGGAGGAAACCTGGGCCGTGGAACTCATCACAACAAACACCTCGCAGAAGCGGGTGGATGAGCTGGTGTCCGCAGCCCTGAGGAACAACATCATCTACGTCTGTACATTCCTAGAAATGCATTTGCCACCACCCAGAAGGTCCTGGACCTGTTCTTCCTCAAGTGTTCATTGAAACCCCTACCCCTGCCTCCACCCCAGCTCAGCAACAACACTGCAACCCACTTGTTGTACATCTTAGGGATACTATTTCACCTCTCTCAGCCTGTCTTTGCTCCTCTGAAAAGTGTAGCTGGAAGGGGATCACCCTGAGGTGTATAGTGAGGATTTCCTGGGATCAGCCATTGGCAGTGCCAACCCAGACCCTGATGCTGCAGAAACAGCTGCCGAGGAGGTGGGGATGGTCACATCGACCTTCAGCTCTCCCAGTGGAGAAGCTCTCTGCCTCAGTCCTCCCAGACGCTTTGACAGAGAGCTAAGTTAGCATTCTGTTGGTAAAGGGAGTCTGCCATTCTATCTATGGGGTTGCTGAGCTTAGTGTAGGCAGAAGAGAAGGAGGGGTCCCAGACCACTCAGATACCTGAGAAGTTGCTGGTTATGTTCAGTCATCTAAGAAATACAATATCGTTTTTATTGTCGTTGTTAAGTGCCATCAAGTCGATTCCAACTTGGAAGGGGCCTGTATAGTTTCCGAGGAGCAGCTAGTACGTTTGAATCTCTGACCGTGTGGTTAGCAGTTAATGCTTATCCTGCAGCACCATACCAAGAATCTGACAAGTCAATTTCCACATTGTAAGACAGAGTGTGGCACTGTGGGATAATGCAGGGGACCACAGGGCAGGTTTGAACCGCAAGGTTGGCAGTTCAAACTCAGCAGTCGTCCGTGAAAAACCCTATATTGAGTTGTTATGAATTGGAAACAACTAGAAGAAATGTCACAGCAGCAGACACAGTAGATGAGCCCCACAGGGTTTTCTTGACTATAATCTTTGTGGAAGCAGCTCTCCAGTTCTTTCTCCCCTAGATCATCTGGGTGGGTTCCTATCCCACCTTTCATTCCCAGCCTGAACACTGCACCATCAAGACTCCCCATTAATACAGAGAGGAAACACTTCACCACGAAGGCACCAGGCATTTGGAATCATCCAGGGAAACACACTAGATAAAACCCCTGCCCTCCTGAGATTCCACTCTAGTCAAGCAATCAGATGGGAACCCCAGATGTGGCAAGCAGGGAGTCCACATTCCTTTAAAATGAACCCCTCATGTGTCCTCTAGGTATGGATGCATCCTTCCCTATTCTGACAGAGACAGCAGAGCCCAGGACCAACTTAATGAGTTAGTGGACTCTGGGTTGAGGAGGGGCTCCTGCCTCCAAGAAGGGTAGGGGTCTAGGCAGTGCTCTGCTTGGAGGACTAGGGGAAGGCCTGAATACAACACCTTTTTATATTGCCAAGAGGACTGAATACAAAGCCTGTACCTACAGGAAGAAAGAGGATATTAGAGAGAGAGGGATAGGGCCCGGGTATTCTGTGGATCAAAGGGGAGGTTGGTGCTCATAGAGTACCCCAAAGGGAGTCCATCCATGGAACCCTCCCAGCTCAGAGACCCTGAATCTCCTGAAACCCAGTCATGGGTGCCCATGTAGACCAGGAGCGGCTGACCCCACCCTTCAGGGGATCAGTGTCAGTGTGAAGAAGAGACTCATGCTCACAGAAAATCATGGGAGGGAGGCTGGGTCACAACCTCTGGATTGAAGGTCCCTGAGGGCCCTAGGAAGTTGGAGAAGGAGGACAGACCCCATTTCTGCCTCAGCCATCACATCTACACAGAGCACCTTCTGTGTGCCTGGCCAGGACGTGAATCCCCAGAGTCTGGACTGCCCTCAGAGAGATATCTGTGCAGTGAGCAGGGTCAGGGGAGACAGACAGGGAGGTGGGTCAGGCTTCCTGATGAGACCGGGAGTGGGTGAGACCACTGAAGGAGAGTTCCAGGATGAAGGCTCTCTGCTGTCCCTCCCCTGGGTGACCAGGACGGCCACTGCAGGAGAGCCAGGGTGGATGCAGAAAGCCAGCAGAATGACACAAAGTTCCACCCCTGAGGAGTGCTGTGGGAGGGAACTGTGGACAGAGACTGGCCATGACCTGCTGCTTTCCTTCTCTCTCAGTGCCATCTGCTTCACCCTGTGCACCTGGCTAGAAGAACACAGGCAGGATTTCCTTCAGCCTCCAGACTTCCTTGCTCTGAAAGTGCTGACAGCTTATGCTCAGCTGAGCATGCCCAGCTCCAAACTGGAAGGCAGAGCCCACTGGCTCCTTGCCCAGTGGGAGTGACCAGAATCCATGGAGACACAGCCAGAGGGTGAGGAGGATGGGGTGGGTGCATGTGAGCATGTGTGTAGGAGCTTGGGGCTGGACTGCACAGGGAAGTCCTCCAGAGGAAGATGCTGGACAGAGCTCAGAGACAGCACAGATCTGGTGGACAGTAGCCTTGGAAAGCTTCCTGTACAATGGTACCTGGTATTGGGCGCTCACAGTGGCTGGGACAGGCTTTTTGTCTTTGAAAAGGCACTAGAACAGGCTGTCATGTCACTGAACTTTTCTTTTCTTGCTTCTCCAGCACAAACCTCACCTCTGGATCCTGTTTTAGATTCAGTTCAAGCTCTCTCTCCAGAACCCACTCCAGATTCACACCAAGTGCTGCTTCTGGAGCCGGCTCCACATTCACATCAAGATTCACTCTGCACCCATCTCCTGATCTATGTGGAAGATTATCACCTCCAGAGGCCTCTCCAGGGCCACATCAAGCAGCAGGTCTGGAATATATTTCCATTCTACACCAAGCCACTCTTCTGGATCCCACCTCACAGGCATCTGGAGTCTTGCCTTTGGATCCAACCCCAGTTTCAAATGGAGCGTCCCTTGTGCAGTGGGCTTGAGAACATCATGAACATGCAACTCCAGAATTCTCTACTGATCAGCATCCAGCATTGTCTCAGAATTGAGCTCCTAATCTACATCGGAATTCATCTGAGAATATCACCACAGATTCACCTGGAGCTTCGCCTATGCATCCTACTGCAGCTCTACTTTGAGATGAATCTCTGGTGTTCCCTCCAGTTCTACATCAAGGTTCACCTGAGGGGCCCTTTCCAGGTCGACATTGAGGGTTAACTCTCAAACCCAATTCAGATACACACTGAGATTTCCCTGGTAGTCACTCTCAAAATCAGCATCAGAATTCACCTCTGGAACGCTCTCCAGGGCCACATAGAGCCTTACTCCTGGGACACACCCCAGTTACACATTAGACGTCATCTCGGGAACCCAATCCTTCAGATCCCACTCCAGATCCAAGTCCAGTGTTACCTCTGCATCATACACAAGAGTGCCACGGGATGAACATGTACACCTCTCTCCAGTTATACACTCAACATCATTTCTGGAACACACTCCAGTTACATATCAGACGCCTTCTTTGGAATCCATTCCACAGCCACACCCAAGTTTGTCTTTGCATGCCATTCCAGGTCAATGTGGAGCATTTCCTCTGGAACACACTCCAGAACCACTCTGAGCATCACTCCTGGACTATGCTCAATAAGGGCATGAAGAGAAACCTCCAGGATCCTCTATGGAATACAATACAATATAATTTCCAAAACTAGCTCCTGATCAACATCAAATTTTACCTCAGTATACTCTGCAGACCCATCTTGTGATTCACCTGTGGTACCTACTCTAGCTCCACATTGAGATTAAGCTCTGCTGTTGACGCCAGGTGTACATCATGGTTCACCCAAGGCGCTCTTTCCAGGTCTATATCGTTGGTTACCTCAGAATCCAAATTCAGATACACATCAAGATTTCCCTGGTAGTCAGTCTCAAAATCAACATGAGAATTCACCACTGTATCTCTCTCCAGGACCACCAAGAGCCTTACTTCTGGGATACACCGCAGTTACACATTGGAGTTCTTCTCTGGAACCCAATCTTTTGGACCCCACTCCAGATCCAACTTGAGTGTTATTTCTGCATCATTCATGAGAGTCCCAAGGAGATGCACATCTGCAACTCTTTCCAGGTCCACACTCAACATCGCATCTGGAATATACTCCAGCAACATTTCAAATGTCTTCTCTGGAAATCACTCCAGAGCCGGCAGCAGCCTTGCCTATGGGTCCTGCTCAAGATTCATGTGTGTTCCACACATGTGTTCAACAAACGTCTTCTCTGGAACCTATTCCATGGTCACATCAAGCTTTCCTTTGGATGCTTCTCCAGCTTCGTGTCAACCATTACTTCAGAAACATGCTTGAGAGTGACATGAAGGTTCATTTCTGGACCTCTCTCCAGGGACACACCAAGCATCACTTTGAGAACAAGCTCAAGTTGCATATAAGATGCTTCCTGTGGTACCCAAGCCACATCAAGCCTTGCCTTTGTATACCTGTCAAGAGTGATGTCAACCATCATCTGTATAACCCGCTTGTGATGCACATCAACATTCACTTTCAGAATCGGCTACAGATCACGCATCAAGCCTCATCTACAGAACACGAGCCAGAGTCACTTCCAGCCTCACCTCGAGTATCATCTCAAAAGCCAAAGCCAGACTCAGTCACTCCTCCAGCATCAGCACCGGAGACAAAGCTGACGTTTTCTCAGTTCCCCGAGTCTTCTCGTCCTATACCAGAGAGAGCATATCATTCTTCTTTGGGTAATTTTTTTCTTGCTTAACATTTACATTTACTTAATTTTAAATTGTAGGTTTAAGTAGAAATAAAGTTTCAATTTTGATCATTTCAAGTGTATATTTCAGTGATTTTATTTGCATCCATCACCACTGTCTGGATCCAGAGCATTTTCATCACCCCAAAGAGAAATCATTTAACCATGAAATCATCATTCTGCAATTCCCTGTCCCCTATACCTGGGTATTGACAAATTTACGTTCTGTGTCTAAGGATGGGCCTACTCTGGAATTTTCATCAAAATGGAATCATGAAATATGTGGCCATTTGTTCTCAATGGTTTTGAGGTTCATCCAAAGCATACCACATGACAGTATCAAATTCCTTTTAACAGTTGAATATTATCCCAATGTATGGATAAGCCACATTATACTTATCCATTTATTTACTGGTGGACATGAGTGGTCTTTCCACCACATGACTAATGTGAAGAGTGCTGTTTGGAGCATCCATGTCAAGTCTTTGCTTTAGTGCCTGCTGTTAAGTGTCATTGATGGCATGATAAATACCAGGGATGGCAGAGAGGAGGAGGCAGGTAAGGAGAGAGTCCAGGTGTGAGATGTTAAAAGTTTGGAGGCTCAAGAAGCAGGGCAGGCATGTTTTTGGAGATGAGAACATGGCACAGAGAGACCCCAGATATG